AAAAAAAAAAAAAAAAAAAAAAGTAAAAAAAAAAAACAAATGAAATTCTGATGCATGGGTAAACCTTGAAGACATTGAGGTATGCTCAGTGAAATAAATTAGATACAAAAGGATAAATATTGCATGATTCCACTTATATGAGATACCTAAAACAGGCAAATTCAGAAAGACAGAAAGTAGAATAGAGGTTGCCAGGGGCTTGGGGAAGAGGGAAATGGGGAGTTATTGTTTAACGGGTACAGATTCTATTTGGGATGATGAAAAAGTTCTGGAGATGGATAGTGGTGATGATGGCACAATACTGTGAATGTACTTAATGCCACTGAATTATACACATTAAAATGTTAAGTTTTACGTCATGTATATTTTACCACAAAAAAGAGAAAGAAAGAAATCTAATGTCCTACCATCACATTAATTCAACATGTCTAAACATGTCTACTTATTATCATCCCTCCTAAGCTGAATGCCAACCCCAATTTTCCCATATCAAAGGTGTTACTTAGAGTGTTAAGCTTAAAATCTGTGTACCCCTTGTTTCCTCTCATTTCTTTAACGCCTAGATCTCACTTACCTCTACGTTCTAGAAATACATCCTTCACGTTATTCATGCTTTCTTCTGCCACTATCTTAGTAAGTTGTTTTATCTACGGGCAATAGACTTTAAAACTTACAAAATTTCTAAACTTAACAAGGATAGCATAAATTTACTTATGTTAAATATGTAAAATGTAAGTATACGAAGTTTTAATAAAAACTGGTTTGAACTGTTCATTACTATAAAAGTAACAATAAATCACTCCATTACTAAATTCTAACCTTGATCAAAATAATTGCTTAATTTTTAAGAACATCCTTATTTATACTGGCTGTTCACACTACTTCACATTAATCTTCCAATGTCATCAATGAACATTTTACACCTTACCTTTGTATGGTATTCCATAGCATCCAATTCACCTTGATTGAAAACAACACATCTTTTACGCTTCTAAAGAATAAATTACACGGAGAAAATTATGTTGCCATCTATCACAATATTGATATTTTGAAATATATTAGTATTTCTTTTTTCTTTATCACATTTTCCATATTGTATATCTCAGTCTTTAAGAGGTGATAATTGACTATTGAGGTCAAAATCAGGAAAGGGTATGGACTCAAATATTAATAATTCTCAAATAATAATATTTTTTTATTATTATTATTATTACCACAAACTTAATGAGTGGTAAAAGGTCGTCTCAGCCTTATCTGCTATTAATAAGAACTAGTACCATATGATAAAATGCAGCACTGACATCCATGGAACACAAGGAAACTGAAACTGTATACTAAACAGTTATTAGCGTTATGTATCAGTTGATATATATGGTATAATTATACTCGACTTTCTTCAACTCTAAGGAAAGGAACTATCCACATGCTATGAACAAAAAAAAAAATCCCAAGGTACTCTGAATAGCTCTAGGATTGATCCGAGGTACAAATCAGATACATTAACACTGTTCTATATCTATTACTCCAAAGAAAAGAACATGCAAGAGAGCGTAAAATAGAGCATAGACTTTGCACTTTTTATTGCTGAAACCCCAGTGCTTACATGGTGGCAAACTCCTAGCAGGCTAACAATAAATGCTTGTCGGCTGAATAAATAAATGGACTTAAGGTTAAGCGAATTGTACGATTTGCTTTAGCATATCAGAAATAAGGCAAGCTTTGTCAAGATAACATTCCTTACATATGCTCATATATTTTCCACATTAAAATGAGAAATTGACCCAACATAAGAGTCTAAACATTAAAAGACGTCCAAACTAAGTAAACTGCACAGTCTTTTACAAATGCTTGTTACTATTTGAATTAGTAATAGTAATGATAAATTATCTATATACCATTTTACTGAGATCTCAGACACACTATATATTTTCTTTTCTATGCCTCACGCATAGCAGATGATATTTGTTGAAAAGATACAAGAAATCACAAGAATATTAAAAGTTCTACTTCAGGTATCTCTAACAATGTAATAAATTATCTCTATTACTTTCCTTATTCTAATTGTCAACAGGCTTTCTTATTTAATATCTTTATTCCTCACTCAATTATAAGATCCATGAGGGCAGGGACTTTGTTTATCTTGTTTTATCCCCATGTGTACAACAGCACAAAGAAAGATCTCAAACATTTGCTGGGTGAGTAATGAATGTTATTCCTATCTCTGAGAATGTTATTCCTATTCCTATTAACAAAGAAAACGTTAATATAATCTATCTTAAATGAACTTTGTATAATCACCTCTGAACTCTTCAAAGACATAAAAAGTATTAAAGCATAATTAATTTGATCCTGTATGGCATTCTCGAAATATTACTAAAAGATTGCACCAGTGCATATACAAACATATATACTTCAAGAACATATACATTTTCCATAGGAGCTTTCTACTTTTATCACTAGAAACTTTTCAAAAATATCACCCTTCTTCCAAACTTTTATTACATCACCTTATCCCCAAGAGATAGATCTCTAAAAATCTCCCAAAAATCTATACACTGCTTTAGAATTTTGCAGAGAAAGAAGCATGTTTTTGAACAAAAATAGGTGCAAAAACATGCAATTAATACAAACCTAAGAAGAAAGGGTTATTTTGTTGTTTAGTTTTGTCTGTTTGCTTAATTTACAGAGCATTCACTTATGAGCCAAATTTGCTTACTTTTGAAATAACCAAATTTGGTCTTCTAAGAATAGTAGAATGTTCGGAAAGAGTTAAAAATTACACTGAATATGCTGAAGCCTTCTTATGCTTTATTGATTATTCTTTATATTTAGTAAATCACAAGATATTTGAGATATTGGAATAATAAATTTCTTTTGTGTGTTCTGTAGAAAAATAAAAATTTCTTAGAAGTTTCTACCTTTCCAATAATAGAAATGAAGTTTTCTTTTTTAACATCATTCATCAGATCTTCCTTTTCATTCTTTTGTTGACATTCTTTGTGAATAGCTGAAGTTATATAAGGTTTGGTGACATCAAATAGTTCAGATCGAAAAACATATTTTTGTATGAACATTTCACAATTTCCTCCATGATCACTGTCTGGCTTAGTGGTAGAGTCAGAAGCAACAAATGTAGCAGGGGCTCCAAAAGAGGACACAGAATCCATTTGAAGAGAATTAAAGCGGACAGAAGTGGACTCATTTTTACTGCAACATGCTTCATGTTGTTGGTGAAGTTGATAGTTTATCTTGTTAATGAAAGAAAGATGATCCAGTAACCATCCTGGTGACAGCTGGTGCACCACAGACATTCTCTTCCTTAAAAAAAAAAAACTCTGGGAATTAGGGACTAGAAGTAAAACCCAACTTTTCATATTATGTTCTTAAATGTCCTCTATTTCAATGAAAATATATTTCATATACACAAGTATACGTGATGTACATGTATATAAACTTGACATGGACACAGAAAAGAATTTAACATTCATGATACGTTAAGGAAAACTGCATTGTTTTCATATAAACTTTTAATTTCGGGGTTCATAATTCAAAATTTTCAACCAAGTTGGCAAAAGAGGGTTAAAACCTGATCTTATTTCTGGAATTCCAATTTGGTCCTCCTATCTTCCTGGGCCCTCCACAAAACCTCCTGCTTCATTCTTGGATGTAGCCACTAGGTCCACATCCTCCTAGTCAGGAAGTCATTGAATCCTTAAAGGGTGAGAATGTCCTGTCAAAGCAAAGAATACCATATTACCTATGTGAATTCACCCTTTTTAATGAGATAAAGCTAGAGAGGGTCACAGATTTTCAAGAGTTGTTAGCAGGCCGGCTGTTCTTTTTTCAAGCTACATTTACCACAGTAAGTCAGCCCATTCTCCAGTATCATTGCCCTACTTAACCTCTGCTACCAACGGAGTGCAAAAAGGGTAAAAAGAAAGATTGGTCTAGGCAGAGCAAAATGCAATTTTAAGAGCACATCAGAAGCATTCAACTCTAGCAAAATTGCAGAGTCCAAATCTCTAACTGGTTCTGAGCGGTTCTCCTCCAGCAACTAGATTTTTCATAACTTCCTTATCTTTTTTCAAAAGACGGTTTTCAGTTCTGGATATTGCTTACTAAATCTAGTGTAGTGGAGAACTTGAGAGCACGACAGAGGAAGACATAATATATAAGTGGTTAATAGCACAATTAATAAAGGCAGCATTTAGATTCAAACTTCTAACTCCATGTATTAGCAATATGACCATGGACAAGTTATTTGATTTCACTGAGCCTCAATTTCATCATTTTTTATGTCATCTTAGAGGGCAGTTTAGAGAATTAAATGAGATAATCTACATGAAGTGCTGTACACAGTGCCTGACACACAGCAACTGCTCAAATAAATGCTACAGGTGGTGGTAATCCCCATATTGGTCCTCCCTTCAGTCACCACTTGTGAGGAGGTCCTGTAATTAGTAAAAGATAGAAATTTAGACGAGAAGACTGAAACTCAGGAAAGGTGACGTGTCCAAAATTACAATTCTGTTAACGGCACAACTGCCACAAGAACCAGGTACCCAGACTCGGGCTCTGAGCTCTTCTCCCACCCCGACCGCTCTCCAGCTACCGGGCAGTTCTGGCCTCCGAGTTCAAACTCAAGGAAGCGGCGAAGTCCTATTTTAGTAAAGTAAACCACTGTGCTTAGCGCGCCTCTCACTAACTCGCTCCTACTTCTCTGCTCCACACCCACCTCACCCCCACCCACTTGGATTCCACCTAACTTCTCGCAGGCCACCACTAGAGGACCGTGAAACCCTAGCGAGCAAATTCCGAGCCCGAAGGCTAGCGGCGGCCACCCCGGCGCGATCCTCGAAGCCGACTGCAGCCACAGTCACTATCTCCTACCTCACCGCGTCCCTCGTCAGAAAAGCGCATGCTGCCTTCCCAGGCTTGCATCATGAAAACAAGCACCCATCTAAAGAGCGGTCATGCAAGACGCCTCTTTCAGGGCAAACGAAAAAAATTTCTCCTTTTCTAAGAGTCAACGGGCGCGGCCATGTTGCTGTACGGAAAAAGCGTTTCCCGAGGGATCTGGAGCGCTGTGCCCGCTGCTCAGCGACGTAGAGTGCTCAGGTTTTCAGAGATAACTTTTAAAGGTCTTACCAGACTTCGTAGGGGCCGCTTACATCGACCAGGAGACGCTAGCGTGCCGGGGAAGGAGGCGGGGCGCGACCAATACGCAGAGTTCCCGCGACGAGAAGCGGCGCATAAGAGTTGCGCACGCGCGCGCACGTGCGTGATGACGTCAGCGCTGGCGGAGATTTTAAAATTCGAACGGCGCGGGCGGGTGGAGAAAGGAGTTGGTGTTTTGGCGGCTGCTGTCTTGTCCCGCGGGCACTTGTACGGTTTACAGAAATTCGGTCCCTGGGTCGTGTCAGGAAGCTGGAAGAAAGGTGACTAATGACTTTGGGTTAATTTTGTTCCGGCAGAACTGTTCTGGAGAGAGAACGCGTTGGCGCCGGCAACTTAAATTTAGAGGCCCTGAGGGACGACGTTTTATTGTCCGCTGTTGTGAGAGGCCTCTGGGCCCAATCTAGGCGAGACGCTAGTTCCCTGGAGTTCAGTAAATTTCTGCTGACAGTGATTTCCCAAAGGAGAAGGAGAGGGCCTAGTAGGGGATACTGGTGGGGAGAAGAGAGGCTGGAGAGAGGAAAGGGGGAAGAATTGATGGGAGCAGGGAGAGGAATGACAAGGTGAGGAACCGTTTGGTGTGTTGCGTTTGAGATGCTAATGTAACATCCTAGTGGCCGTGTAAGGAGTACATCTGGAAGTGTTGATCTTATATTTTAAGTGGAGATTCGGAGTGGACATATAGGTGAGAGTGGAAAAGTTGGATAGATGCAGAAGTGAGTATTGAAGGAGATGAAATAGGTGGCCAAACCAAGAAGGAAAGAGTGTAATAAGTTTAAAAGACAAAGGAGGGACGGGGACGGAAAAGGATAACCACAAATGTCCACTTGTCCTGGAAGCCAGGGCAGGACCAGAAAAAGCTAGGTGTTTAGTGTCTAATGCTGCAGAGGTGAGATAGGATCAAAAGATTTGTCAATCATGAGTATCCTAGGACGTAACAGTTTCAGTAGATGTGAAGAGAATGAGATGTGAATGTGGTCTGAGAAAGTGGAAGCAGTCTATAGACCATTTTGTGGACTAGATGATTTATCTTTGTTGAAAGGGAGATTAAAGCAAGAGGGGCAGGAATTGAAGAATATAAATGGGAAATAATGGGTCAAGGACAGAGTAAGAGAAGTGAACATTAGGAAAAGAAAACTGAATTGCTCTATTCTCTGAGACCAAAGAAAAGAAAAGATCTTGAGATAGTTCTTGTCAGGTAGCCTCCGACTTCCCAGTGAAATAGGCACAGCCCACAGCAGTGATGTAGTCTGGGTTAGAATTCAGGGCTTTAACTACCGTAGATACCCTTGTGAAGGCAGGAATCATACTTTACTCATCTTTGTATCATTTGCATTGCCTTGCACACGGTAGGCATTTAGTGAGTGTTTATATGTGTGGAATATTTTTAAATGAAGTTAAATAGATATTCCCTGCAAATGAGGACTTCACCGTCATGAACAGGTAAAGGTAGCCCAGGCAAGATTATCTTGAAGAAACAATGAAACTTGGCTGCCTTTGTTTTTGAGGATCAAGATAATAGTTGGTGCTTAATGTACCATCTTTGTCTGGAAAGATTTTTTAATACTGAATTCATGAATGCAGATCATAAGCATGAAGCGCAGTTCAGTTTCCACTGGTGGTGCTGGCCGCCTCTCTATGCAGGATTTAAGATCCCAGGACTTCAGTAAACAAGGCCTCGGGCTCCATACCCCTCAAACGTAAGTACCTCATGCCTTATCGTCTTGGGCAAAGAAATCTGTAAAGGGGTTAATACAAAGATGTGGTATGAGTGATGTCATGATGAATCTTGTCTTTCCCAGTGCTACCTAATTTGGGATCAATGAAGGCTAAAAGTAGGTATGTTACTAGGTGTTGTGTTTTATCTCATTTGTTCCTTAAATTCTCAAAGCCACGTCCTTTGCCAGGCCACCCCTAAAAGGACTGTTAATTCCCCTGCGGCATTTTTTCTTTCTCACTTTCCTCCTTTTTAATTTTTATTCATTCTCATAACAGAGCTGCTTGTTTGAGCAGGCTCTGTGCTATAACTTTCAGTTTACTGAGGTGTATCCAAGTAACAAAGTTCTCATTCGAGGGTATTGTTGGCTCTACTGATAAGCTGCAGTTTAGTAGCAGCCTACAGAACACCAAACTATTTCCTCAAGTTTCGCTAGAAAAAGATGTCCAAAAGAACTTGCTATCATAAACTAGTTTTTCCCTAAGAGTGATTGTCTTCCAATTAAGAGAAGGCCATTTGTAAGCCACTGTATAAGTCTGTATCAATCCTTCTCTGATACCAAGGATTTGCTAAGTATTCTTAACTTACTTAGGTTTACATAGTATGAGCCTCTGCTACTTTTAGAAAATTAAAATATTTATGTATTTTTTCTTCTGAAATCAGAGAAATTTTTTGTACTGTTGCATATTACATACCCCAAAAGATTTATGCCTTGAGTTGTGTTAGAAGCTAAAAGGTTGCCATTGTCAATGTTTTTCGTCTGAAATCTAGATAATGTATGTTCTTAAGTGTAGCTGCATTCTGATAGAGTTCTTTTTCTTCAGAGAAAAAATTTTACAGGTGGCTATCATCCAATGATTGAAAATATCTATTTTTAAATTTTTTCTTTTCCTTTAAAGTTGTTATCTATAAATGTACATATTTTAAGGTAATTGAAATCATAATGTAAATATGGTTTTTTTCTGAGTTCTTCTTAACACTTTAGTGTTATAACTTATACTATTTTGTTAGCCTATCCCATTTATTACAGCTGTGATTGCTGCAAAAATTTTCATGATTTTGAATTATTTTTATAGATAATGAAGAAGAGATGTTGATTCCACCATATTTCCAAAAGTTTCTTGAACTAATCTTTCTTTTTTTGCTGGGAAAGATTCGCCCTGAGCTAACATCTGTTGCCAATCTTCCTCTTTTTTTTTTTTTCCCTCCCTCCCCAAAGCCCCAGTATATAGTTGTATATTCTAGTTGTAAGTCTTTCTAGTTCTTCTATGTGAGCTGCTGCAACAGCATGGGTACTGACAGATGAGTGGTGTGGTTCCGCTCCCGGGAACCAAACCCGAGCTGCTGAAGCAGAGCACACCAAACTTGAACCGCTAGGCCATCAGGGCTGGCTCATTCTTTTTTTTTTTTTTTTTGTAAGGAATATTAGCCCTGAGCTAACATCTGTTGCCAATCCTCCTCTTTTTGCCGAGGAAGATTGGCCCTGGGCTACCATCCGTGCCCATCTTCCTCTGCTTTATATGAGATGCCGCCACAGCATGGCTTGACAAGCGGTGCGTCGGTGCGCACCCAGGATCCAAACCTGCGAACCCCAGGCCACCACAGCGGAGCTCGTGCAGTTAACCGCTATGCCACTGGGCCGGCCCCTGGCTCATTCTTATATTTATTTTACAGAGTTTGTTTTTCTCCTTTTCTTAAAGCAAAGAGAAGCCAGCCTTTGGAAAGCTGAATATAAACAGACCCACATCTGAAAGAAAAGTCTCTGTATTTGGTAAAAGGTAATGATATTTTTTATTAGTTTTAATGAAAGGATTCTTATAACCATGCCTTGGCCTAGATGCTCTCATAGTACGAAAAGTTAGAGGGCATCGTCCCTTTCAAGAGAAAGTTGTAATCTAGTTTTCCTTTGTTTTAAATGGTTACAATGGTTTTATCTGCTTTAGATGGTGCTAAGAGATATGTCAGCACATTCGGGCCACTGTTTCATTGTTACAAGTGAATAGTTGATTGAAAATTCTATACCTAGCTTTCAGATGGTACGGAATCATAGCATTTTAAAAATAGGAACTGTCGTCGAGTCCAACATTTTAGTCCCAGAATTTTTTATACTCTTAAA